ATTTCACTCACTTCTTTTTTTATGACTTCATGTTCAACATATATAAAAAATACTACTCAGTCTTAATGATTATGATCGAAATCACGAACCGATCATTAGGAAGAACATATAAGCACTGAACGACTGTTTCATTCTAGTTTGGATGCCGGCCCAATGATCTAGAGATTAAGCGTTCTCATGCGAGACCAAAAGTTTTCGGTTCGAGTCCGAAGTGCGAGATCGTGAATGATCACTGTTGTGTAGTGCCATACTAGTACGAAACGGCTTCTCAGTGCTTTTATGTCTTCAATGATGGTGTAGCTTAGATCAGTTGACGGTTTCAGGGAAATCCAATTATTTCCACAACTCCAATACTGAAAACTTTACGATCATGTTAAGTATGTTGTTTCCTCTTTTTGGTATTTATATTACCTCGAATTAAACTTCATTGATTATGGTATACGAAACTCTTTAGGTTATTCGCAGCTGATGAGAAAGAAGACTTGAAATATAATGATGAATTCTGCATGTCTTGTTCTTGATGTTTTATTTATCAAAGAATTAAGATGCATAGAAATAAACAAACGAATATATAACACAAAAAAAATAAAAGATAAACTCAAAAAACAAACGATAAAACAGGGAAATAAAAATCACAAAACTGCCAGAAGAGCACACACACTCACATACACCAAGTATGTATGTATAACACTGTTCTTTAAGAATAAAATGATTGAAAATGATCATGATTAATTTGTCAAAACTAACTAATCAATACAATACAATACAATTAAACAAAATATATTGAAGAGTTTGTTCTTTCTCGAATAATCGAAAAGAAAAACAAACAAACTTGGAGACTATCACATGTTTGTATTGAATAATAAATGCCGAACTAAATGGGCATTAGAATAAATAAAAGGGGGGGGGGGTAATAAGAAAATAATTATAATGTAATACATATTTACACATACACACAATATATATGTATCCATAAATAGACACAAACAGACAATACGACTCATTAAGTAACAATAGGTAAAGGGATTCAAAAAAGATGATAGTATTCAGCTGCTCCAACGGAAAATAAATGAAGATGAACATGAATCTAAATGACGATATAGTAGTGATTGAAGGTAAAACACCTTCATCAATAAGCCACTATTTCACAATTAAGAAGATCAAATGAATGAATGTACACTATTATTACTATGTTATGAATGGGGAATGAATATGACAAGTGGGGAGAAAAGAGGAAAACTAACAAAAGAGTGGGGGAGGGGGAGAAAATCAATGATAAACAAAATAAACAAATCAATGACTATTTATACAAACAGTCATATTATACACAGAAAAAAAGGGAGAATTCACAAAATTACACATACACATACACACACACACACACGTACAAACATTTATATCATATTGTACTTTTGAAAAAGTTCTTTATTATTATGATTATCGATGATCGGGATATTGTACTAATTCAAATAGATCACCTGATTCTATTTGATATGAATATAAATTACGATTTGGATATTTTAATTCTTCTGGACCTTGAATTTGTGACATAACTTGATCAAAATAAAATAATTTCAAATGTTTCATTTCATTTTGATTAGTTATATTGAATAAATTACAAAAATGACGTTTAGCTTGAGATACTTTTAAATTAACATTTATATTATACCAAATCTGAAAAGAAAGAGAACCAAAAAAAAGGAAATCATGAAGAAATGATGTAATAATATATGTTGGATAATAATTTTATTTAAAAAAAAATCGAAGATTCCAAATACGGCCGAGAGTGGGGAGAGTTCACTCACCCTCTCGAAATGCTCTCATATGGACACACGTATATAGCCTCTGATATGGAAGTCCTACTCACTACCTTCTAGTGGCATTACTGTTGTTTACGAAATTGAAAGGACGAAAAGCGAATGTCCAGCGCTTTAACCGGGTTGGTGGATGTGAAAAGTCTACCAAGGGGTGTTGGAAAACTCTGATTCCAAACCAATGGTGCACATGGGCTCCAGTATCCTGAAGGAACAAATGGTGTATGAATCAATCGTTGGTCACCGGCTACCATGAGACTGCATCTATACACGATGCTCCACTGCCTTGTGGATCAGACCTTACGGTCAAAGGCTCCGATTGTGGCCTCCTAAGAAAACCACCTGCTTCAGTTTGGGTACCTGGGCAGTATCGCAGCCCTCACACAAATAAAGCGGGACTTGTGCGGCGCATATATATCTGGTGCTTCTTTGTACCAATATTTATGTGTTTAAATAAATAAACAAAACCGAAAAGTATTTTAGAAATAAAATAGGTTTTGTCCCTTTTTTAGGTATACATCTGCATCTTCAGTGTTGATGTTGTTTACAACCAGTATTTATTGATTCAAATGTAAGCATATTATTACACTAGACTACTATTGATCATGAGGAGTATAAAACTTGTTCAGTATATATGATATTCACTATAATTCATAAGAGTTTAAGTTTTTTTGATTAATAACATTCAGGATGGAAATCAAACCGTCACTGCTGACTACCGGATAACTTGATTTTGCCCGTATGTAAGCTGAGATTGATTAAATACGATTTCAAATTTGGATAACGGGAGGTTACGAACTCCAACAAATAATAATTTTAAAATTTAGTTTGTGATAAGTTAAAAGTGATATCATAGACATTATCCCCACATCCTATCGTGATATGTATACATTACAGGTTTTAGATCATATATGTCTCTCAAGTATTACTGGCGTTCTGTGGAATGACCGGAGTGAGCAATCTTGAGGCTAAGCATAGAGTTACTAAGGAAAGGTACCAAATCGATTGATGGGGATATGAATTTTCGCCGAGTAAGGTTAGAGTTAGGACATAAGTTATGTATCTCTAATCATCCCTTACCTTGATAGTGAGAAGTTTCATGGTTCAGTCGCAGGTTAGAAAAGAAACTTTGAGTGGGTAAACCAATACATAGCATTAATTCATGAGGTTATTAACTGTTGGTTTGTCCTATGTTGGCATGTGAGGACCACCTGGTTGTGCTCTGCGTGATAATCGCGATCAGTAGTTGGAGACTGGATGGCATGACTCAGAATTGTCTACAGAGGTGCGGATGCATTCACTCTTTATCTTTGTCTCGATTTTGAATTTATTTATATAACCCTTTCCAATCAGTATTTTCAAATGATATTCTCAATACTTAGTCCTTTTTACTGTCATTGCCACTAAATTATTTTGAACTCTTTTAATATACATCTTTTTAATTTCATCATATCGAGCTAATATGGTATGGTAAAAGGGTTCAACAGGCATCTCCCTTCACTCGACAAGTCCCCAAATCAGAACACGGTTGAACAGGAGTATAATCATATTCCAAATAAGAGGGTTGGATAGAAGTAGGAATCACAATAAGAAAAATATTAGAGTGTTCTCCAAGTCTCCGCCAGCACTGATTGGTTAGGGGAATAGCTAAACAGTTTGACCCAACACAATCATTTAGGGAACGTGCTTTCATTCAATCTGTATCGCGCTAACACATACTACAAACGAAATAGCTGTCTAGTACATTTTAGTTTCTAACAATTTTCTAGCTACAGTTAGTTCATAATGTAAACTATGAAAAAACACTGGGTTGTTTTTTTCGTTCAAATTTCAAATGAAATGAAGAAGAAGAAGAAAGGGATTAAGGTCAAAATAAAAATAAGTTCGATCATTATTCATTTAGTAGATTAAATGTGTTTTAAGATTTTTCACGTGATCTGATGGATAGGATAATAAAAAAAATAATAATAATAAATATATGGTGACGTTGACCTTCAAAAATTGTAACCAACCAATCAAATGTTTGTTTGTTATTCTTTTTTTGTAGCGCGAAAAAAAGACGTAGAAACAGAAAAATAGGCAAATCATTTTAATTTTGCATATAAAACTAAATACAGTTCGCAGGCATTGGATAAATATTGTCAGTTTTTATACATCTGTTCTCGACGTATAAGATTGAATATAAAAAAGTACTTTCATTTAGGTAAAAAGTAATATTTTGATAGTTGAGATCATGAATCAATGGACGCTAAACTACCATGGAAAACCCGAAAGCAATGGACGGTCGTTTCGTCATATTATGAGACTCCTCAGCAGTGCGTATCCACGATCCCGCCTCGCGAGATTCAAACCCAGGACCTATTAGTCTCGCACGCGAGCACTTTACCATTAGACCACTGAGCCGGCATCCAACGGTGTTAATGTCTAACTTCAACCGATCCACGAAGTTGAGCAACCATTCACCAATTGTCTTCAGTGAGTTACTATCTCACAATAAACCTGGTTGAACTCTGGTGCTTTCAGGTTTTCCAAGGTGGTCAGGCTTCAATTGATTCATGATCTCAAATATCAAAATTACTATAATATCCACAAAACCCCTTCTGATAAAAAGAAATATACAACCTTTATTAATATAAAGCCGAATATTATGGAGATTGTAGAATTTTTATGAATTTAAATTATGAACTGATCTTAGTTAGACAACAATTGAAAACTATAAAAATTTGGATAGTTATTTCGTTTTAGAATGGGATTACTCAACAGTGTACATTTACAACAATAACAAAAAACCTTTGTGTTTATTCATTTATAAAACAATTTGTATACAAAAATGTAGAGGAATAGAGAAAGGAGAGTAAATGCGATAGGATACAGGTTCGGCTTCACAATTGATCGATCACTGGGTGGTGATCAATGTCATGTGTGTCAAGTCCTTCTTTAGTGCTGATCGAATGCTATCGATCAAGTTGCAATGTGGCCACCAGTCTAGGTGGCTCGACACTGCTTGCACTATATATATATATATATATATATATATATATATATATATATATATATATAGCTCAGTGGTAACGTTTCTGACTGTGAAACTGAGTGACACGGGATCGAATCCGCCAGGGAGCATCAGTTACCTCAAGATTACAGGTACACCTTGCTGACGAGTGCCAAGTAGCACGAAAATTGGGTCCAGGGTTTCCTGTTGACCACCTCCAACCACCATCTTACCTCAACAGGTTCGGTTTATTTAGTGCATGAGTGCTACATATAAGAGCATAAGTTCTGAGCTATAACTTTTAGTTGTTTTTTTTTTACATTTTTTATCTGGAAAGTTGAGATGAGCTACAGTGGTATGTTCATAGAAGACATATACAGAGAACTTCAGATGACTGAAATAAAATTCACAGGGAAAACTATGCTTTTATATCTTGCATTCCCCCACTAAATGAACGTAAAAGTGCTAGATAATGTGGTTTTACTGAACATTGAAAAGAAAATGGCTATCTACACACATATCAATATGACATAACAACATGAATTCATTTTATTTCGTGGTTTCTCATCATCAACTGCTTACATAAACTTAATAAAATCGTTCAGAAAATTAGTTTTATTGAGATCATGAACCGATCAATTATTGATCACCATTAAAAATCTGGAGGCACTAGATGGCGATTCCTTTCTGGTAAAAAAACTCTCTAATACTGCGCATCCACGGCTCCTCATCCGTGAATCGAACCAAGGACCTTCAGTCCGAGGCTCCAAAAATGAACCCTTAGACCACTGAACCGGTATCCAACGGTGTTAATTTTTAACTTAGATCAGTTCATGATTTCAATAAAATTCAACAATCTCCACAAAAAACTTTGAACTTATTACATTTTTCCCTGAGGCTATTCAGAAGGGCATGGTCGTCAGTTTTGCTTTTCTCTAATTACCTCTGTTTTCAACGTGTGGTTTCGTAAAAATTTATTTGTTTGCAATTAAAGAAGTAATTCTCTTCCCGCCTTCTTAAATTTGATCTTAGTTGTGCTAACTTTAATCTTATAGTCCATCCCGTTTTGTCCTTACCATTGCGTAACTTACAATATCAGTCTTCTTTCCTTTATTAAGACCGTCCTTATATGCTTCATAAACCAGCATTCTGTGGTGTATATGTTTAACCTCGACCAATTCCTGATGTTTCCCTATCATCATACATTGCCTAGGATGAATAACTGCCATACATTCGACATGGTTGAACTCCATTGGTCACAGCTTTTTATTGATAAGTATCCAACCATTTGAAGATGTTTTATAATTCTTTTATATTTAATTGTTTTACTAAAATTTTATCGATGAGAGCACTTCTAGTATTATGATAAAAAGTACATACACTGATTTTGAATAACTAATACCATTATTCAATTAGTATTGTTTGTTTGAATCTTCCCATTGATGTTTTAGGACTGCAACTGGTCAGTCTCTAATTGGCATATGTGCATATTGTCTCAATATAGCCTAAATTCACAAGCATGGTCCCAGAGTGAACATCAACTCTGAGATGCAGGTACATTCAGCTGACGAGTCCCAAATAGGACGAAATGCGCGTCAAACTGGATTCCACTGCTAGCCACTATCCATTTAATACCATTATTGTTTAGGTTGTATGGAGCTGGAGGGAAATCACGGAAACATTCTAATGTTCAGTGTTAGTTTCTCATAGTTGACAAAACGAGGACTATCGAAAAGTAAGATAGGATATTTCACAGTACTACAATACATAAAAATTAACATAGATCATCGCCTGGTGTCTTTCGCTAAAGACTTAAACCACCTGATAATAATACAAACATGCAACCGATTAGTGCATCTTGTGATTTCTAACACAAAAACACTTGAGAAAAATTATCAATAAATAGATAATAACCCAATCATACTTACTTCTTTCCCTGACATTGTGACACGTACACGAATATGTTGTTTTGGAGATAAATCAATATTAGCTAATGGTTGAAGTCGACCATGTCGACGTTCTAGAGCCCAATAACTAAAATTAAATCATAGATTATAGAAAAATTAAATTAATCATTAAATCAACTACTTATAATTTATTTATAAAGGAGAAGGTTAGGGGAAGACAATAGAATGAAGGAAAATAATAAGAAAGATGTAACTTGGCTAGTTTAATGACTTCCTTAGTATGAATGAAGTTATACATTTTTTTCAATAAATAACTTTTTTAAGGTATACTATAGATGATTTGTAGAGATTCATGAATTTTATCGCCTACATGATGGGTTGATGTTAATTAGACTACATAGGGCCGTTTCATCCTAACACGGGACTCCATAGTAATGTGTATTTCCTATCCCTTAGGAAATCGAACCGGCGAGACTATAATTTATGGACGAACCAACCACGTATAAGATAATAGGTCTCGGATTTTGGCGCGAAATTTACTAATCCACTTGGTTAAATAGAATTTTGGCATTACAGATTATATCAGTTCGTGATGAAAAAGATAAATCTAATTCTTAGCCTTAAACATCAACTGTAAATCATAATTTTAATTCCTCACACAAGTTTATAGCCCTCATTTGGTCCTGCTTATTAGGTAGACATTCTCAAGGTCAGTCTATAGCAGCTCATAGGTCATCCATAAATTATAGTTTTACCATCAAACCTAGGTCTTTCGAGTCTTATGAAGAGCCTTTAAACTTAAGATCACTTAGTTGGGATCCTGTTGTTTACATGTGCGACCATATATATATATATATATATATATATATATATATATATATATATATATATGAATTTTCTGGTACCTATCTATCCAGTTTGCCTAATAAAGCTTTCTTCTCACTCGCAGTGTTCTCACGGCTACCTGGTATAAATTTATATATTGTACCTGAATTTTAGAATCATCATTACTCACTTAGTAGTTCCATCATTCTTCAGAGAAATACTTCGAAGATAACCATCATCAGATATACTGGTGACTTACACATGTCCACTACTTACACAAAAATCTATGTTTCATTGTTATACATCAAAAACAAAAGGGACTACTGAGCATTATTGTATACACCTTTAGATAGACAAATAGATAGACATAGTGCAAAGTACTTGTGACTATGATACACTGGGTCAATCATACGTATCAGTCCAAGGTCAAATGATAATTGAGATATGCTAATAAGTGTATGTTATTGGTTACTTTTTGAAAAAACAGATTTTATATTTACGAATAAGTTTATGCATATACCTGGATTCTGTTAGTCAATAAAAGTTCCCCATTCACTCTTGGTTTTTATACTCAAGAGGCTTGTTCAGGTACGTATACATTATCAGTTGAGGATTTGGACTACGGCAGGTTATAACAAACTACTACCACCGTTGATTTTTTATTCAAATTAAGAGAAATTCTAAAAAGTGAGAATTTTTCACAACCAAATCAGTCATGTGAACTTTCTACTAGTGACATTCAAAACTATAACATTTTTCATGTTAGTATACAAGAAATATCTAAGCTTTTAAAAGCTCTCATCATATTGAATAAAGCCACTAATAATGATCACGATCTTGACAAATAATCGAATAGAAATTATTTCCTAGGTTGAATGAGGGATGGCAACTTGGACCGATGCCTGGTCCTACGTTGTAGCTGACTGACTGAATTTACCACATTAATCTGAATCAGAGTACCATTGAAAACCAAGCAGAACTAAACAGCTGTTTCAATGCTAATATGAAACTTCCAAAGTGCGAACTCTGATAAACAGTCTTATATCATGTAGAAATAGTTGTCTTGTAGTGCCGCGATTCGTTAATCGTTCGTTTCGATAATCGATATAATTCTAATCTTAACGGCGCGTAAAATCAGAAGACAAAGGATAGCAGCAACTACAGTTTAATGGAGATGGCTGGGAAGCCAACTCAATTTAAGCAAGCGTTAATCAACATTTATAGTCAGACAAAAATGAGTGGCAGACATATGATGAATAAGATACGAAGTGTACATATATATGCTCATATAAAAGTATAGCCAAGGTTAATAAGCGAATAATGAACAAGATTAAAATATGACTCATGACAGGCGAATTGGCTTGGCCAGTAGCTAGGATAAAATATATGGGCTTAACAAATAAACTGATACTACAGTCTAGTGTTTTTTTTAATACTACCCTAATTGTGACGAATTTCTTTCATATATTATCACCACTAAATTAGCTACTTCTATGAATCTGGTGTTCATCTTGTTGTGCTAACGAGGTATGGCAACTTGGACCGATGCATATATGTGCCTGGTCTTACGTTGTAGCTGACTGACTGAATTGTGACGAATAAAATTTACAAGTTAACCTGATTGCCGTTAAATTTCATCAATTAATTTATAACAGTTAATCTTCAACTCTTTTTAACTAACCGATTAGGACGTTTATCTGAATCCATTTGACCATAATATCGAACAAATTCTCGTTCAGCACTTTCACGTTCCTCTGAATCAATGACACTTCGATTGTATGTAGTAAGTTTTGGTATTCTAGCAATTACATGAGCTCGATAATCAGGTTCTATCCAAGACTAAAAATATATAGATATATACACATATGTATATATATAATTATTTTGTAAAAAAAAAACTTCAAACAAAAAGGATTTTGAGACAAATTCTTACATTAAAAAACGTTGATGCAAATATTTCTTACACAATTAGTTAGTTATAATGAATGTACGGTTTAACACAAAATGCACATTGACCAAACTTCCTGTTATGCCCTATGAACCGTCAAATATCAGGTTACAAAATCGCCGTTCAGAACACCAACTTCTATAACCTTGTCTATGTGCTAAACTGATGATGCGTTAACCAGCACGAGCAGCCTTGAGTCAACTCTCAGTCCTAATTAGCTTCTTGTCTAACTCAATCCGTTTGATCCAGAATGCAATCTCAGCCTCTGCTGTTTAAATCGTCTACTTTAGGCATACTTGATTTATATATAAGCAAACCAGACTCCATCTCACCATAAAATGAAAAATAACGAATACACAAGATCAAGCCCAAAGTGTGTGTGAGTATAGGAGACTGTAACTTATAAATATGGAATAAGTTAAGAATGATAAATGGTATTATTATTATTTGAACACATAAATATTGGTACAAGGGGCACCAGATATGTATGCTCCACACAGAAAATTATCATTTCATTTTAATTGTAAATCGTATAACAGTAACCGATAGGTCAATTGAAGGCTTATGATAAAAGGAATATGAATATATGTATATTCTAGTTGCTTAGTAATTATCTCATAAGAATATATATAATGATAGACCATAAATAATTCCTAACAGCTAATATTCATTTATTTTTCGTTAGGATATAACAACTCCTATACCACGTTAGCACAATGAGTTGAAAACAACAAAGTGAATATTAGAAAAAAGATAGAAATAATAATAAGATTAAACATTGGAAATATGGTTTGAAAAGACAGAGTGAGAAATATATGAAGGTATACTAGAGCTCAAAATCTAGAATAAATGTATTTGTGCTATTATGACCTATTCTAAGTCATTATTTGGCTATGATAATCGAGAGGATTCCAGCAAACCTCTATGTACAGAAGAGTTATATATGATCCCTTATTCTCCAATAGTCTTTTTACCCCTTTGAATTTTACAAATTGTAAGTATTCAGTCAGTCAGCTACAACGTAGGACCAGGCACATATATGCATCGGTCCAAGTTGCCATACCTCTTTAGCACAACAAGATGAACACCGGATTCATAGAAGCAATTAATTTAGTGGTGGTAGTATATAAAGAAAGATTGTATAGAAAGATATAGTACAGGAAGGAAGAGAGATATGAAGCAATTTTAATCTCAAGGTTTAAGGGAAGATAAAGAGTGTATACACCTACGCCATTGTGATCGATTCTGAGCCATGTCACCTAGAGTCTCCAACCATTTATTACGATAGTCACGCGGACCCCAACCAGGTAGTCTGCATCTGCCAACATGACTCAGGCTAGAAGTTAGTGACTTCAAACACTGATGCCATGTTTTGGTTTGGCCGCCCCTAACTCTCTTCCAACCGTCCCCAATACTAGTCATCATAGCGCGTCGTGGTAATCGGTGTTCAGGCATACGTAACACATGGCCCAACCATCTCAGTCGATGGAGATTCATCACCTCATCAACTGATTTACCATCGTTCCCTAATACCCTGCGTCTAACCTCACTATTACTTACTCGGTGATCCCAGCAGATGCGAGCAATATTTCTAAGGCATCTGTGGTCAAATACTAGTAACCTACGAGTATCTTCTACTCTTAATGGCCATGTTTCGCAGCCGTAAAGTAGAACAGAGCGAACTGATGCGCAGTATACTCGTCCCTTAATTGATAGACGGATATCTCGTCTTCGCCATAGGTGACGTAAGTTGGCAAAAGCCAAACGAGCTTTTTGAATCCGTGCTGAGATTTCGTCAGACACCAACCCATTAGGGCTGATCAGACTTCCAAGATAAGTGAAGTTGTCAACGCGTTCGACTACTTCACTCCCTATCCTTAGTTCGAGTGTTGACGCAGGCCAGTCCTGGAGTAACAATTTACATTTGGATGGGGAGAAACGCATCCCAAACATCCTGGCATTATTACTCAGTTCCAACAGAAGACTCTGCATTTTGTCAGCGTCTTCACCAAACAGGACTATGTCATCTGCGTATTCTAAGTCGCTTAGTGGTCCCCCTGGTAGGAGATCAATTCCTGTAAACTCAGTCGACGAGAGTGTCATTTGCAGCAACAGGTCTATAATGAAGTTAAACAAAAAGGGGGATAGTGGACAGCCTTGACGGACACCACTTGAGGTTGTAAAATCATATGACAGTTCGCCATAAGCTCTCACTCGACTGATAGTGTTCGAGTAAAGAGCCTTCACAAGGTTTATGTACTTCTCAGGTACACCTTTCAATGACAGACACTGCCACAGAACCTCTCGGTCTACAGAGTCAAATGCTGCTTTCAAGTCAAGAAAAACTATCATTGTCGGACGCCGATAAGCATGTCTGTGCTCTAAAACTTGACGAATGGTGAATATGTGGTCGATACAGCCACGACCAGGTCTGAAGCCAGCCTGATTTTCTCGTGTTTGCAGTTCACGAGTCTTAGTTAGGCGCCTGATAATTATTGAGGCTAGTATTTTAGATACTATGTTAGTCAGACTAATCCCTCTATGGTTATCGCAGGATGATTTTGACCCCTTTTTATATATTGGGACAATCAGTGATTGTGACCAGTCGGATGGGATTACATCCGTCTCCCAGATTTTAGCCAGAATATTAGTCAACCTAATCGCTAAAATTGGACCACCATATTTAAAGACCTCTGGAGCCAATCCATCAGGACCAGCTGCTCTTCCTCGTTTCAGATTACCTATAGCCTTTTGAACTTCAAGTAGGGTCGGGGGGCCTACTTCAATGTTCCATTCAGGTTTTCTAGGAATAGTGGGTAGTTGTGCAGTAGCTGAAGGCCAGCTAAACTGCTCCTTAAAGTGTTCCGCCCATCGTTCTAAACGTTTGGGTTGAGAGCAGATAAGGGTTCCATCTTTTTCCGAGATCGTCTCACTTACACTTGACTTCTTAATTCCAGTTTCTTTTATTAGTCTGAATAGTTGCCTGGTGTTGCCTACAGCCGCTGCCTTTTCCATCTCTTTTGCTTTCGTATTGTAAGTATTAATTAATACTTTCTCCTCTCCCTTTATAAAGTAGACAGTTATCTTTAACTTTATAAATTATTACCTTTAATTACTTCCTAAACTATTACATAACGTAAGTTCTTGATGATTTTTGATTACTCTGCTAAATGATGCAATACTCATTCTTGTTTCACTACTGGAAACCTATTACCTATAAATACGATTGTACATTTTCAGAAAGTGATATTGTCCAAGAGAAAAATTTCTTCATTTAAACGTCTTCACTCTTTTTAATAGGTCAATGGGCTTCTTTCGTTTTTTTTTTCTTCTTTTCAATAATTATTATTATTATCAGTAGTAGTAGAAGTAGTAGTAGTAGTAGTAGTAGTATTTTTCAAACAAAACAAATGAATAAGGAAATTTTCGCACATTTTCTTTTCTTTTTTTTATTTCTCTACTTAGATGATGATGGGTAATGAAATGACCTTGAATCATATGAAACATTGTTGATGCCCATTTTAAAAGAAGAAAAGAAAGATTGTTAATAATAATAATAATATTAAAGCCTATTACACTAATAGTAACCACAATGTAAACAATAATACAATGAATATACAAAATAGAATTAATTTGCACTTATGATTTAAAGTTCATATTATAAGGGCTATATGTAATACAATAAACAAAATAATTGTTTCAGATTGGTTTGAAGTTGTTTCTTTTGGAAGCTAACAGAATTAGACTAACTCATTTATCTAATTGATACAGTTTGATTTATTCGATTTAGAATTATAGTACTTATGTCAGTTAATCAGTTATAAACAATGTGGAACATGACAAATATCTATATCGATTCAAGTCATTGCCCCCAAATGCCCTGGTACGGCCGAGAGTAGGGAGAGTCCGCTCTCCCTCTCCAAATGCTCTCACATGGCCACGTGTATACAACCTCTGCCAGGGAAGTCCTACTCACTGCCTTCTAGTGGCAGGGGTGTTGTTTACGAAATTGAGAGGACGAAAAGCGAATGACCAGCGCTTTAACCGGGTTGGTGGACACGGAAAGTTCACCTAGAGGAGTTGGAAAACCCTGATTTCAAACCAATGGTGCACATGGACTCCAGTATCTTGAGGGAAAAATTGGCGTATGAACCAACTGTCGGTCATCAGCTACCATGGGACTGCATCTCCTTACGATGCTCCACTGTCTTGTGGATCAGATATTTCGGTCAAAGGCTCCGGGTGTGTGGAATAAGTTAAGAATGGTAAATCGTATTATTATATTATTATTTGAACACATAAATATTGGTGCAAGGAAGCACCAGATACATATGCGCCTCACAAATCTCATTCCATTTGTGTGAGGGCTGCCCAGGTGGCCAGACTGAAGCAGGTGGTTTTCTTAGGGGGCCACAATCGGAGCCTTTGACCTGAAGGTCTAGTCCACAAGGCAGTGGAGCATCGTAAGGAGATGTAGTCCCATGGTAGCCGGTGACCAACGATTGATTCATACGCCATTTGTTCCCTCAGGTTACTGGAGTCCATGTGCACCATTGGTTTGGAATGAGGGTTTCCCAACTCCCCTAGATGAACTTTCCGTGTCCACCAACCCGGTTAAAGCGCTGGACATTCGCTTTTCGTCCTCTCAATTTCGCAAACAACACCCCTGCCACTAGAAGGCAGTGAGTAGGACTTCCCTGGCAGAGGTTGTATACACGTGGCCACGTGAGAGCATTTGGAGAGGGAGAGCGGACTCTCCCCACTCTCGGCCGTACCAGGGCATTTGGGGGCACTGTGGAGTTTTTTAGGTAGACATCTGCATCTTCAGTATAGATGATGTTTATATGTGACATCTCAATATCTCTTAATGTTTAGTGGTTATCCAGCTAGCATTAGTTCGCAATAGATATAATCATTAATGAAGTAATAATTTTCCAAAAAAAGAGTATGCGAACCTACAGTTAATAACAACAAAAAAACATACCTGAAATACAGGTAAAGTATTGCCTAATCGTAAATTGGTTAAACTAGGCATCCATTCATTTAAAGCATCAATACTTTCCCATTGATTGATTAATGTTTCTGATAAACCTAATGTATGTACATTTTGAAATAAGGATTGATGATAAAAAGTATTTTTTGATGTATTATTATCAGTATTATTATTACTATTATTATTATTATTATCAGTAGTATTATGCTGAGATGTATGTGAATTCTCTTGCGGAAATGGTATATGTTCAATAGGATTACCTAATAAAATCAATTGTTCTAATCCAGGGAAATGTCTACACAAACGACATATTGTCCACCAATTTGATATGCCATTATCGCTATAATATAAACTGTGTAAATGAGGAAATACAGGTAATGGAGTGGCATCATTATCATCATTATGATCAGAAGATACTTCAATCTGTTCTTCTGCTCCATAATTATTACGTGCGACGTGTAAATCGGTTAAGCTGAAGATAGATTAAAAACATAGGGAAATTAAATAAAAATATTTTTATTAGTGCTCGGGAAGGAGGTGATGTTCTGGAGATTATTGAATTTTGCAGTTTACAATACGGACTGAACTTGGTTAAAGAACTGTTGAAAACTAGGAAGCACCGAACAGCTGTCTCATCCTAGTATGAGACTCCTTAAAAGTACGCACTCAAGATCAGCACATAACGTCGAACTCAGGAACGTCATATAAAAGATTTGTATTGCTGAGGAGTTTCATACTATGATGAGACAGTTATCCAATACTTTCTAGTTCTGAATGTTTGTCTAATATGTGTGAAATATTGAATGATTTTACACATCATTCACTAACTAGTTCCCTAAAATGATGCTAAACTTTCCAAAAACTAGTTTTTAGAAAGATTATCTGAACAAATAAATTTTACGAATATTCACTGTAAAGAAGTGAATTTATATATAGGGAGAGAGAGAGAGAGGAAGCAGACATATGTGAAAACAATGCTATGATTAGAAGATTTCGCAAGTGATTATTAATGCATCCTGGTGCAAGAAAAGTTGGTCATATCAAACTTAATTGGTACATAACACCAAAACAGACAGATATTTCAATTCTGAATTATTTGAAAATTATGCGTTCAGTCAAGTAAGAAACATTTTGCGAAAGTCCAGTGCCTCAAGGTTTTTAATGGTGATCAGTTCACGATCTCAATTAAAATAATACTTCATTTAAGCTACATTATTGATAGCAGCGATCAATAAATAAGCCTTTATAATAGGTTTTTTTTACTTTATTGTCGCTCATTCGTAGTTTGAATGAATTTTAACCATTCTCTAAAATAGGATGGATTGTGGCTAGCAGTAGAATTCAGGAGGCATATTTTGTCTTATTTTTAACTTGTCATCTGGAATATCTGCTACATTTTAGTATTGTCGATACTCACAATCATAGCTACAGATAATTCCCAAATAAGAAGGAACACGCGCCCTGAACGCCTCTATTAGCTACTATTCAACCTTACTAAAATTTCTGATAAAATAGTGATACGTTTTGCTAATTGAACGCTATATTCGGATCCTAAGCTAGTTTCGTAACCCCCTAAGTTAAATCTACACAGCCACTTAAACACGAGAGAAACACTTTACTCCAAAGATTCATTTATGTACAGAAAATATAGGGTTTTTATAGTACTTTAGAAGTCCTTGGGTTTTCCTGAAATTCTGGAATGCTACTAAACATAGTAGCAGTGTAGTAATCGGCCAATCAGAAACTCTACATGTGGCTTTTCATTTTCGTGATGTTTCTGGAAAAACTTCGAGTGAACGCTGATTGGACAAAATGCTTTTTAGTGTTTCCTGAGCCTTTCTTGTCTATTGCGAGAAATTTTTAGGATCACCCAACAAACAGCTGTATCGAGGCAATACATGAAGAATGCACATGTCTCGACAAAGCTTGATCGAAAATTCAGTATTGAATATCAACAATGGAATTATTGAAATCATTACTATTTCTTGATAATATGAATTTTAACAGTGGTTATTTCTATGTAAAATAAATGTATGAATCCATCACATAAAAAACGACCCAGTTATTTTGTTTTTTAATTGTATCTGTTTGAATTGTGGGGGCAGGAGTTGTTGAGCACACATCAACAACACTCAGGTATAGGATCAATTCAAATGATAGACTCCACATCTCTATCTCCCCCCCACACACACACAAAATGAAATAATATTTTCACTGTAAATAAAATTTACTGTGATCACCGCATTTCTGAGCTATAATAATGATCAGTGAAAAAAATCTCTTTTATTTTGCTCATTATTATAAACAACTGTTTGAGTTTTATAAAATTTCCCAATTCTTTTAACCATCATTATTTAAGATAATAACTATGCAATGAGTCAGTCAGATGCAACTGAAAACCAGGAGCACATATGTATAGGTTCAAGCTGTTACATCGTCTCATTAATAATTAAGAGAATTAAGATCTAAGGAAATATAAAGAGTGAATGTACCTGAGTTATCGGAAATTATTTTAAGACATTTCAAGGTATAATGAAAGTAGCTAAAATAACAGTGTATTTAATATGATAGTCAGTCAGTCAGTTACAACGTAGAACTTCGTACGTACGTACATCAGTTCGAATTGCCATACCACATTAGCACAGAGATGCAGTTGTCGATTCAAATCCCTTAATGGTAAAAGTAGTAAGAGTATAAGCAGTAATAGGAAAAAATAGGGTTTGAAGATGTTATTCAAAGAGTGTAATATAGTGAAATAAATTTGGAAGGAGAAAAAGGATAGGGACATGAAGAATTCAGAAGATTAGAATTTGGCAGAACACAAAAAGTGGATGCACCTTCGCCATTGCAAACGATTTTGAGCCATTTAATATGATATGTCAATGATGGATTGTGTTGGTGAATATTCTCCTTTTAAAAAAAGACATCTTTCTATTCAATGAACTATAAGAATACAAAATCTATTCTCAGGATTAGTAAGAGTCGCCAAATCAGGTGAGGAATCAATGAACGACCAATCTATATATGATTATTGTACATTAATCTTTTCAACACAATGTGTAATATCGAAAAAGGAATTAATCAAATCAGCAATATTATTGATATCTTTGAGTTAGTCACATTGGTATGCATTATTATTAATGACGATAATTTATTTTTTTTAATTTAAACACATAAATATTGGTACAAGGAAGCACCAGATAAATATGCGCCTCACAAATCTCATTTGATTTGTGAGAGGACTGTGATACTGCCCAGACTGAAGCAGGTGGTTTTCTTAGGGGGCCACACCCGGAGCCCTTGACCTGAATATCTGATCCACAAGGCAGTGGAGCATCGTGAGGAGATGCAGTCCCATGGTAGCCGGTGATCAACGGTTGATTCGTACGCCATTTGTTCCCTCAAGATACTGGAGCCACGAGAAGGCAGTGAGTAGGACTTCCCTGGCAGAGGCTATATATTCGCTGGCCATATAAGAGCATTTCGAGAGAGAGAGGTGACTATCCCCACTCTCGGCCGTACCAGGGCATTTGGGGATAATTTACATATCAAGATATTAGAATATAGTGTTTTCTGAAGATATTTCCCTCCAGATATAAACCACTCTTTTTCTCTTTAACAGTGAAAACCTATGAACTCTACAGGGCCCATACTACGAATTTTATAGATGACTGGTGAGTTTAACATAATAAAACAAAGGATAATGTAGCTTATATTACATATGTTACAAGAAATCCAAGTGGGAAATTCTTTCTTCAACGAATCTTTCTATCACGATATACTTTCGGCTGTACAGTGTAATAATAATAACAAAAGTTTCCCTTGTTATAACTCACTTTGGTAGTCGATAAAGCAGATCAATCACCCAATTCCATGGTACATACGTCGAATTCAATGCTAGTACACTTAAACAAGGAAACACTGTGTTAGGAGATATAATACCGGAATTTAAAGCCAGTTCAGATGGAGCTAAAAGATGCTGTAAATTTAATAGGAAAATGTTATACACAAAGAAAATTAAGTTAACGGTAACATAATAACACATACATGATAAATACATTATTATCCAATTATTGTCCAATAATCATGGAGTTTGGCCAATAGTGGATTAGTTCGAATTGTTGCTCATATAAACGGAAAAAAAGCAAATCCTTGAGTTATATTTGGGCCCGTGTAATCAGGCTGTAATTACAGGACAGCAGTTGCATGACCTCTCTCTCTAGTTGATTAGTTCTCTCATGTTGCCTGAAGAGCCAGTGACCTATTTACCAAATGACAAAGTGACCAACGAACAACAGCTAACAACTAAATACTTATTAATCCTCGAATCCCTTCTAACCTAACGTCTAATCAGAGGACGAGAACAGAGAGCGGATTAAAGTTAACATAAAGTATACAGCTGAATCAATGAGGAAAGAAAAAGCTTTTTTAAGTTCATGGAGCAAATAATAAAATAGGGATAGGATTCGACGTTGAGAACTGGGAGTTAGAGTTAGGCTTTCCATCACGAGCTAACATCAGCTATGATGCCAGGATCCTAATATCTTAATTGTTAGAATGAAAATCTATCCAATTATCTCTGTTGTCTTCTAATCAACGAAAACCGGTTAAAACTCTAAGGTCGTTCGGCTGTATACTATACCTTCACCTAGATTAGTTCTCTATAGCACTCTATTTATTCATGACTCAAAACTTATACAATAATACACCTGAAATCTCTTACCATACAGCAACACAATCAGGGAATTATCATGTGTACACAACACGGTTATAAGTGGTACAAAACCGGCAGTCAGTCACAACTTAGAACTTCGTACGTACGTACATCAGTTCGAATTGCCATACCACATTAGCACAGAGATGCAGTTGTCGATTCAAATCCCATAATGGTAGAAGTAGTAAGAATATAAACAGTAATAGGAAAGATTAGGGTTTGAAGATGTTATTCAAAGAGTGTAATATAGTGAAATAAATTTGGAAGGAGAAAAAGGATAGGGACATGAAGAATTCAGAAGATTAGAATTTGGTAGAACACAAAAATTGGATGCACCTTTACCATTGCAAACGATTTTGAACTATTTATTCTTTAATGGATATTATTTCTTAATGTTTAAATAAATCGAACTTGTAAAACAACTCGTTTCAATCTTACATTGAACACTTTGATCAGATTATTGTATAACTGGTTTTAAGTAATGACACCAATCTTCAGGAAAAGGAAAAATTAGTTTATAATCGCTAGACAAGGATGTGAAAACCTTTACATATCTGGGCAGTATCATTGATGAACACGGTGGATCAGATGCAGATGTGAGGGCGAGGATCGGCAAAGCAAGAGCAGCATACCTACAACTGAAAAGCATCTGGAACTCAAAACAATTGTCAACCGACACCAAGATCAGAATTTTCAATACAAATGTCAAGACAGTTCTACTGTATGAGGCGGAGACGTGGAGAACTGCGAAAGCCATTATCCAGAAGATCCAAGTGTTTATTAACAGTTGTCTACGCAATATATTTCGGATCCGATGGTCAGACACTATCAGCAACAAGACACTGTGGGAAAGAACAAAGCAGATTCCAGTGAAGGAAATCAGGAAGAAGCGCTGGAAGTGGATTGGGCACACTTTAAGGAAATCACCCAATTGTGTCACAAGACAAGCCCTCACATGAAATCCTGAAGGTCAAAGGAGAAGAGGAAGACCAAAGAACATATTACGCCGAGAAATAGAGACAGACATGAGAAGAACGAACAAAAAATGGATAGAACTAGAAAAGAAGGCCCAGGACAGAGTGGGTTGGAAAATGCTGGTCGGTGGCCTATGCTCCATTGGGAGTAACAGGCGTAAGTAAGTAATCGCTAGACAACAAAGAAGCTAGTTAGTAATTTAAAATAAGAAAAATATTAGGATTAGCCAATTGAAATTTCACTATTCAATATGTATAAAACACGTGAGAATTGAATTAGTGAAAAATATATATATGAATATGAACACGCACACACACATGCATACAAGTTGACTGGTCATGTGATGACATAATGGAATCTCTCACTCGAGTAAATCATACCAATCACCTGATTTATACAATTACCTTCCATGTATCCGTATATAGTTGTTATTATTGTTGTAATATTTGCATTTGAAATTAATTGTAAATAAGGAATAGAATAAAAATTTGCACAAATTTAAAGCGAATGGAAGGGTAATAGTAACAAAAATAATAGTTTTACGAAAAGAAGAAACATTAGAAAATATTCGAGTAAGAAAAGAAGAAAATGTACTTTTTATTCACGAAAAAAAAACAACATTAAGATTTATTATCAGAAGGGGGTTTTGTGGAGATTTAGTATTTTCATAGTTGAAAGTGTGAGTCAATTGAAGCTAGACCACCAGGGAAAACATGGAAGCACTGGATGGCCGTTTCGTCCTATTGTGGGACTCCTCAGCAGTGTGCATCCACTATCCCGTCTCACGAGATTCCAACCCAGGACCTATCAGTCTCGCGCCAGAGCACTTAACCGATAGACCACTGAGCCAGCATCCGATGGTGTTAATGTCTAACTCTAACCAATCCACGAAGTTGAGCGACCGTTCACCAATTGTCTTCAGTGAGTTGATATCTCACAACAGACGTGGTTTGAACTCCACTGGTCACTGCTTCTCACTAGAACTCCTGGATTTACCTCTCGAAGTCAGTCACTAGTGAGCATATATATATTAATATATTATATTAATTATCAGAAGGAGGTTTATGTGAAGGAGTCCCACAATAGGACGAAACGACCGTCCAGTGCTTCCAGGTTTTCCCTGGTTGTCTAGTTTTAATTAACTCACGCTTTCAACTAAGAACATTGAGATTTGACTAAAATAAGGATAGAACTTAACTATGATTAACTTAATCTGTTTGTCGACTTGTATTTTGAAAAGATATTTAATTTCTGGATCATTTTAAAGTGGAAGAATATATGATGGGTATGATGGTGGTGAAGGAAATTGAATCCAGATCTGCAGTTGTAAAATTACTAGTAATATACGAGTATGCTTTATTTTTAAAGCTCAAACTTTACAACCGTAAAGTAGAACAGAACGAACTACCGAATGGTGTACTCGCTCTTTTGATTGACAAACGAATATTACACCCACGTCACTAGTGACGCAAGTTGACAAACGCCAACTGAGGTTTTATCAGAGCCTATTCGTACAGGGTTGATAAGACTTCCAAGTGAAGTGATCGACACGTTCAACAACTTCACCCCTTATCATCAATTTAGGCATTGCCGCAGAAGTAAAAACACTAACAGTAGCCACAATTAGAAAGACCAAATGAAGACATAAGAAACGAAAATATCGAATACGCAAGACAAAAAATAAGTAAAATCTGCACCCCTACAATTGATTTCCAGCCATATAACATAGTCTACAAACTATTGTTTACAGTCTTACTGTCAACTGTACAGAGGTGTGACGGCAGTAAGATGCTTCCTTCAGACAACCAGCATAACAGCGATGTTGCCTTCCCACAAGGAGGGGTGCGGTTAGAAAAGGTCGATCCTAAAAATGCACACCTCGCCTTATCCCACGGATATCCGTCTCCGGTGGTAAGGTCCAAACAAGTACGGAGCTAACACAGAAATTACCCACAAAAAAGTCGTGTGTGACCAACCTAAAGCAGTTGTCCCTTGGGCACTGCGGTCACGCCTCAGGTCATTAAGACCACTTCTAATCCAATTTCCTTTTGAGGTACCTCTAGAAGAACCATTCCATGGTGTGGGCAGTCGGAAAGTGATAACTGCTCTTATACCTCTGACATCACTCAAGATCACTGTATTCATAATCAATCTCCTTCAATTCCTATTCTCCTCCAACCTCGACTTTCAACACTAAACTTTCTCTTTCGGCTTCTTCCTTAAGTGTCACCATGGCCAACGATTCTAGAGTGCGAAACACTGTTTCAGATCTACTAAGACCTCGCTCCAAACTACACATTGGAGCCTTCAACGTACGTACTTTAAGTCAAATCGGTCAACAGGCCTCCTTAGCTAAAACCCTAGAATATCGTACCATTGATGTATGCTGTGTCTCCGAAACACGCATACAGGATCCCAGTGTGGTCATTCACTTGACCTCACCTCGCCAAAATGGACAGCCAACAAAATACACCCTCCGTGTATCTGGCGACCCATGACTAGTTCTCTTGGACTTGCAGGTGTAGGCATAGCACTTAGTACAAGGGCAGAACAAGCACTATTAGAATGGATCCATGTTAACAGTCATCTGTGTGCTGTTCGGCTAAATGGCTCCGTAAGAACTCGGAAGGATAGGGACACACGTCGTTGCCTTTTCGTCGTTTCTGTCTACGCTCCCACTGACTGCAGCCCGGATGAAGTGAAAGATGACTTTTACAGAAAGCTCTCTGAACGTCTTCAAAAAGCTAAGCGCTCAGACATAATAGTCGTAGCGGGTGACTTTAATGCCCAATTAGGCAGCTTAAACTAAACAGAAAGGCATTTAGGTGGGTATTTTAGTGTTCCGGTTCAGCGAACAGATAATGGTGATCGTCTGTTGCAACGATGCTCAGACAATCGTTTATTTTTAGCAAGCACTAATTTTAAGCACAAGGAGAGACATTGTCTAACATGGTAACCACCTGCACCAAACCAACGATGGACTCAAATGGACCATATTGTCATCAGTCATCGTTGGAAAAGCTCAATAGAATATTGTCGCTCGTATTGGAATACTTATTTAGACTCTGATCACGCTTTAATACGAGCGCGCATTTATCTGCGCCTCAATGGACGCAGGAAAAGTACACTAAGAAGACCCATTAGGATTGAGCTGGAGGACGAGAAAGCCAAATGCGAATTCCAGAAACAACTGAGTTCACATCTAGGCAGTTCTGTAAACGAGACTGACTCAGATGCTGCTTGGAAAGATATACGAACAGCTGTGGAAACAGCAGTTACATCTATTAGTCATTTAAACCATTGGGCTCCAAAAGACCAGTGGATTTCTTCTAAGTCTATTTCACTGATGGATTCGCGTAAACTCATCCCATCAGGCTCTGAACACGACGAAGAGTGTAAACAAATTAGATCTAGGTTAACTAAAAGTCTAAGGAACGATCGTGAGCAGTGGTGGGCAACGAAAGCAAAAGAGATGGAAAAGGCAGCGGCTGTAGGCAACACCAGGCAACTCTTCAGACTAATAAAAGAAACCGGAATGAAGAAGTCAAGTATAAGCGAGGTATTCTCGGAAAAAGACGAAACTCTCATATGTTCTCAGCCCAGACGTTTAGAACGATGTGCGGAACACTTTAGAGAACAGTTTAGCTGGCCTTCAGCTACTCTACAGTTACCCACCATTCCCAAACAGTCCGAATGGAACATTGAAGTAGGTCCCCCCACTCTAGTTGAAGTTCAAAAGGCTATAAGTAATCTGAAACGAGGAAGAGTAGATGGTCCAGATAAATTGGCTCCAGAGGTCTTTAAATATGGTGGTCCGATTTTAGCGATTAGGTTGACTAATATTCTGGCTAAAATCTGGGAAACGGACGTAATCCCATCTGACTGGTCACAATCTCTGATTGTCCCAATATACAAAAAGGGGCCAAAATCATCCTGTAATAACCATAGAGGGATTAGTCTGACTAACATAGTATCTAAAATACTAGCCTCAATAATTATCGGGCGCCTAACTAAGACTCGTGAACTGCAAACACGAGAAAATCAGGCTGGTTTCAGACTTGGTCGTGGCTGTATTGACCACATATTCACTATTCGTCAGGTTTTAGAGCACAGACACGCTTATCGGCGTCCGACAATGATAGTTTTTCTTGACTTAAAAGCAGCATTTGACTCTGTAGACCGAGAGGCTCTGTGGCAGCGAAGGCTCTTTACTCGAACACTATTAGTCGAATCTGAGCTTATGGCGAACTGTCATCTGATTTTAAAACCTCAAGTGCTGTTCGACAAGGCTGTCCACTATCCCCATTTTTGTTTAACTTCATTATAGACCTGTTGCTGGAAATAACACTCTCGTCGACTGAATTTTCAGGAATTGATCTCCTACCAGGGGGTCCACTAAGCGACTTAGAATATGCAGATGACATAGTCCTGTTTGGTGAAGACGCTGACAAAATGCAGTCTTTTGTTAGAACTGAGTAATAATGCCAGGATGTTTGGGATGCGTTTCTCCCCATCTACATGTAAATTGTTACTCCAGGACTGGTCTGCGTCAACACCTGAACTAAAGATAGGGAGTGAAGTGGTCGAACTCGTCGACAACATCACTTATCTTTGAAGTCTGATCAGCCCTGATGGATTGGTGTCTGACGAAATCTCAGCACGGATTCAAAAGGCTCGTTTGGCTTTTGCAAACTTACGTCACCTATGGCGAAGACGAGATATCCGTCTATCAATTAAAGAACGAGTATTTGGAAATCTAAATTATGTGATCACGACTCGATTTCTTAAACGATATGGTTCCTGTCGAGATTGTAAATATACACCTCTGAGGAGTACCAAAATCAAAGGGGATGACTATCCAGCGCTAGCTGGCTTCAAAAACCTCCCAATTAAGATTAATCGGTGACGAAAGTCGTCTCAAAAATGAACTGATCTCTATAATTAACCAATTCAGGAAGTAAATGAGAAAATTCCGTCTAACGGTTTACAGTTGGCAGAACGCTTACCTTTGGTAGTGTCTTCATGGTAGATGGTTCATTCCCTCCTGTTTGTTTGAGATAGCCATTACTACCAACACCATTATCATTTGGATGATTAGTCGACTTGATTTTTTCCATTGAATCATTCATGGATTCATTGTGAAAAATTGGTGAGAAATCAATTTCATTATGTTTAGATTGAAGTATTTTATTCGACTTGGATGATGACAATTTGTTAAAGTAGAAGTAATTTTGATCTTGTATAGATAATTCAGAGCTATTCATAGGTTGAATATTTTCTTCTCCTTCAGTAGATAATAAACCAATAGTATCTTCATCAAAAGATGAATTGGAAGATTGGTTATCAGAGATATGATAACCTAGTGGATTTTGACTTAAATTTAATGATTCAAGTTTTTCAAGCCAACATAGAATTTTAAATACCTAAAAAGACAAAACAAACAACATATAAACATCATAAAATATTAATCAAAAACAAATATCGTATGGATACTTTTATATTACAGTTCTGCCATGTAATTACTAATCGCTAAGAAACTGTGTAAATTAATTAGTTAAATAACAATTATCTAAACGGCGAATAGTTGATTTGCAACTTTAAAGCTAAATTAAGTGAAACATCTGGCCATTTGTTTTTATCTCATCTCCTACTAGTGAGGCTTTGAATTGTCAGACTCCCGAATATGCCCGAAAACTATAGAAAGACAAACTTCATAGTATTTAGTAAAAATTCAGAAATAACTTATTTTTACGTTGAGTTAGGTGTTTGTCTATCAGTTTAAACAGCATATTTTCCCACCAAAAACTTCAATGAAGCGATATTCAGCCCCAAACTTACAATAAGTGCCTACCTTTGAGATCGATTTGCTGTAAGTTTTTTCATGCTGGATTTGAAACCAAATGCAACAAACATTAGCTTGTGATCTGCCAGTAATATTAACCTCTATTTCAAACGAACTTATGATACTACGTAGCAGCAAAAGCCAAGATAATATTTATCCTATCCGACTACATTCCTTTAAGTCGATGTCAAAGACCGGGATAGATACATACTGATCTTCCCCACTAGGTCTAGAAATACATGAGACACATCTCTGCTTACAGAATACAGTATGATCATTATCAATACTAAATATAACAGACCATTATGTATCGCACTTACTGATTTTAAAATGTTCACAACAAATTTAGGTAATCAGAAGTTTTTTAGTTCTATCAATAGTTAGGTTTCCCTATAATCACAATAACGTTCTGTAAAATGACTGATCCAACAAAGAAACCACATAGATTGTACTGAATGAACTACCTTTGAACTGGACTTATAAGACAGATGCAGACGTTATATTGTCTTAGTAGGAGAAATCACTGACAGATAAAGCGAGCCGTGCATCTTAGTTTTTAAATACAGTACTACCAAATGATATTATTGATCCCAACCATGATTAATGAGGTTAAAAAATCCTTCGGATGAGTTCATAGGGAACTACTTCATACTGTAATACCAGTAAAGTACCTTAGATCTTCTAAGTTAACTTTTCTAGCATTTTTAGATAATAATCACCTAATTCAGCTATAGTTACTGTTTCATCTTATTAAGGTGACAGGTTTTACTTTTTTCACTACACATAAATTCCGAAAACTGTTACAACAGTCAACATTTAGGTTTATGACTGGTGAGCCCCATAACTATCGGCCTAGTAACACATTTCATAACAAAAGTTTCTGGAAACTGGATATGATCATATATGCACAAACAGCGCCTCAAGTCTTACGATAAAACCTTTGTTATTTTCTTAAACATAATGCCTTGAAATTTGGACTTATCAACGAATAAACTGTCTAAACTTCGCCTGGACAACAGATTATAATTATTCGGCAAATAGAAACACACACCTCTTCAAATGAAGACAACCGATTGCAAGCCAAATCTAACTCCCTAACATGCTCAGCCGCTTTTAACAATTCATCCTTGCAACCAATGCTTTTTATATCTTGAGAGTCCATTGTTAATGTCCGAGTAGGAAATAGAATATTCGATCCGTCACGATTACATGTCTTTTGAATGTGGCCGACCAAAATGTGACTTTCTGTCAACTTTTCCTGTTTCCTCTGTATCGCATCAACAAGAGTTGCCATCTTAGAAGCAAATTTACTAACAACAAAAACAGTTGAGTGAGCGCTGAACCACAAAGTTCATTGAAACAAACCAATAAAAGAAAAGCTATTTCGAAGGTTAAATATGATCATTCTCAGAAATGTAAAGAACATCAAATAATTATGCAGATAATAATGTCATCTATCGGTTTTTGTTTGATGTATGTGTCCTCACTACAACTTTCCAAAGTACATTCACACCATTACCGACTTGTCAGCTGACTACCGACTTTCCCATCGAATAATCAACGAGTGGAATTCATTACCTCAGCACGTGGTTGAGGCTCCATCCGTCGACTCCTTCAAAAGAAAGTTGGATCAGCTGAGAGACCATCATTGCCAGGACTAACACAGGCCATCAAGCCTCCTGTCCTTTCCAAACTGAAACTGAAACTAAAACTAAAACTAGTTAGTCCTTTCGTAGATTTTCGAAAGTCCTTAGTTTGGTACTATGATGACCTTGTTTCTTTCTGATTAAGCTTTTTCAGCAAAATTGCCCATCAAAACAGCACCATAGAGCGCATAGTAATGATAGATACTGAGACTAGTGAAATAAATTAATAATCGTTATTTTAACGAATTTCGTTGACCATCGTCATCCTAATGTTTTTAGTTCGCTTGGAGTATCGTTCGTAAGTACATGACCTTATCTTCACATCCAATCAGTCTCATCAATGCAGTCCCAAAAACATATGTGATGTATAGAAGGTCTATACTTAAGCAGGATGTTTGTTATGAGGTGATGAAATGCACTGATATATACTGCTCTCATGAGACCAATATGTCTACCTTCCTTAACTGCAGTCAACTAAGTGTATTCTACTTAACGGGGTATGACTCGAAGTTGGAAATCAATGTTCCTTGATTGTTTAGGAGTCCCCTGAATAATATTCTATTTAGCCGTATCCTAGGAGCTGTGTTCAATAAAATCTTTCACTACAAACCATTTTTACTTTGTTTCTGTACCACCAATTACTTTGCTTTTGCTGCGATCTAAATAAGTTATTGTTTCTACTTTTGTCTGTTGAATTACTTATATTAGTTCCACAAACTATAGCACCTACTGAAATATTTTTTTGTGATAGGCTATATCCAATTTAAATCAATTGGTTGAGTTTCCTTACGACGAGTAATTTCGTCGTTCAAAACAAGTATTCATTGAATTCAAGTATTTCTTGTAATGATACCATAGGCTATTCATCAACATCTGTCTTATATTTAGTTCCAGGGGTTGTCATGGTAATTTGAGGACCCCATTCCATTCTTCAAACATATCGATAGTGAATGGACAATCAAGAGAGTATTTGTAAAGGCTAAAATCTTCAGAAACACAAGTACGTTAGAAGGGTGTAGTTTCGAATCCAAAATAATAATTCTAAGTATTCCACAGGTTGACTGATATATTGTTAGCAGAATTTTGATGCGGTGTGAGCCACTTGTGTATTTGACTCATTTCAAATACTGCACTTTATAGCTTATGGAAATTGAACTGCTTCACAGGGATGAAGTAAGGCTTACGAGATTGTGGTGTTTGTATGAACCAGGGATTCTTTTATATTGATTACTGTTTTGATTTTGAGTTCCAAATACAATACATCCGTTCATGTTCATCTGATACTTCTTGATTAAATTGCGTTGTTCCTGGGATCACTAGTTCGTACAATAGTTCAAATACTCTTAAACATCACAGAGGTATATTCCCACACCTCATAGATTCATGATAAATTAGCTTAAACTGACTTGTTTATTTGTCTTAATGTCCTGATGTTAGGAGCTTTTGCAAATTTCCCGGTAACTGTAGTCTGAACAGTATAGCTACTCGGCGTCACCGTTTCAAGTAAATTAGAGTTTTTTTGGTACCCAAACTTTAAGCACAATTAGATGTTTTGTATTTGGGTAGCGTGTTCCTGGAATCAGCACCTACCATTTTACGTGAAAGTCACCCGGTTGGTTGAATCAAAACTGTATTATTGTCATCTGTTACAGCCTCTTTTTATTTTGCAGCTTGGAGAGAATAATCGAGGCTGATTAGTTTGTTCCTGTGGGTATGATTGAAATAAGCTGTAACTGTGACTCAGTCTGATGATTTTCTTAATGTATATTCTGTCCACTTCCAGCATCTTTTCCCAATATCGTAGCCCAGTCAACCACCAGAAGAAAGGGAAAAAAGGAAGGTGGGTAGTCTTGTCTGACTCCAGTCTTTACTTGGAATGAGTCTGTCAGCTGTTCTCCATGCACGACTTTGTACTGTAGTCCGTCGTATGAATTTTCAATGATATTGAGGATTTTCTCAGGTACTCCATACTATCGGAGAAATTTCCATAATTTCCTCCTACCCACACTGTCTAACGCTTTCTCATAGTCAATAAAGTTGATGTTCGTTAATAAATTCACCTCAACGGATTGTTCAAGGATGATCTGTAGTGTCGTGATTTGGTCTGTGCACGACCGATCATGACGGAATCCGGTCTGTTAATCTCCTAGCTAAGATGTCCACTGAATCTTTCATCTGGTCCAGCAACACTATTGAAAACTTTTACTAGTACTGATAGTAGTGTGATTCCTCTGTAGTTCCCACATCTGCTCAGATGTCGTTTCTTTGGTGTTCTTCTTTCTAGTCCGTTCGCGTTTGTTCTTCCTCCTTAATCTTTCTGAATAGAGCGTGAAGCATCTTTGCAGTTGTTTCCGTGTCTGAGTTCAGTGCATGAGCTTGTATGTTGTCAGGTCCTGATGCTTTCTCATTTTTGACTTATTTAGTAGCCATCCTGATCTCCTCCATCGTCGGTGGAGTAACATCTATAAGGAGGTTCTGTGTGTTGTTTCTATATCTGGTGGACTAAATGAAGACGGTCTATTCAATAGTTCTGCAAAATATTCGACCCATCTGTTCCTCTGTTCTTGAATCTCAGCGATTATCTTGTTTTCTCTGTCCTTGATTGGTCTCTCTGGTTAACTATATTTCCATGCCATTTTCTTCGTTGTGTCATATAGTTGTTTAATATTTCTCCCACTTACCGCTTTTCTCTCCGTCGTTGCAAGGTTCTCCTTTTATACTCCTCCCTAATTGAGTCCATTTGTATCTGTACTGCCAGAAGGAAAAATATTCTTTGAACCGCTGCCTCCAAAAAACTCATGACAAATGGCTCGCCTGTCTCTATCCTTCAGAACATCCGTCACTTGTCAGAGCATCACTAGATTCTGTTACGTTCTCTCTCAACAGTAACAGCTTGGCCAGTATTATCACCTTGAGATCATTTGTGTCGTCCATAATAGCATTCGGTGGTCGATTTTTGACAGTGCACTCGGGTTCTGTCATGAAAGTTCCAGAGTCCCTCATTTGCTGAACTTCATTCATCTATGAGGGCACTCAACGCCTTATGAATAGAGTGAATCATGAGCCCACAAACTCCGCCCCCATGACTAGCAGCCGGAGGATCTAAATTACAGCCAACTCCCTTCCTGAACAAGTTAGTATGCATTTGCCCATGTGCTCAATCCTGGGGATATTTCATTGATTTACGCACAGCCACCACCGAATTCGATCCATGATCACTGTATATCACTCTTTGATAGCCTCATCTAACGATAAACCTTACTGGGGCCAAGATAATTGAGTCAGTAGTGAAAATATATGTTACCTCCAAATCCAGTGCTCTCTGTCTTAAACAAGCAAATACACAATTGCAGCATTTCTTAGTACTTTTACGTTGCCGCATCATTGTGGACCCAAAGTAACTTACCCCAACAGGTAGTCACCATTCTCAACTCTGACCCATGAAATAGAGACACGGAGGAAAAGCGGTTGACGCTCAAACATGACCGCAACTTCTTTTCTGTGACCTTGAAGGCCATAATGACGGTGGGCATTTAGTATTTGAAGTGCTGAAGGTCGGTTGCGTGAGTGTTTTCTAAAATGTCTCTCATGTGTTTATATACTCACTTAGTCTGTTAACGTTTGTTAACTACGAAAGTCGGTTCTAACAACATAAACCCTGTTCTTTTGCCTCTTTAGTACTGGTTGTTGCTACATAACATTTTCAAAAAGAAATCAGTAGAATAATTCTCTGGAGAATAATACAGTCAAGTATGTAAATAACATGACTGAAAATAACCACATGCAATTCTATTGATCGATAACCTGAGTAACATCGTTTAATTCAGAATTAAAGCGAAGATAACTGACAGTCAATTAATTTGAAACTGTCATCGTCTCCCATCAATGGTTATAGTAACTTCTACACAGAAGTTAATGAAATTGCTTCCTAACAGTTAGTTTTTGTTTTGTTTTCTGCTCAAGTAGTCCCGTTTGCCGTGCTTCTTGTTTGAAAGATAAATCGGTGAACCTGACTGGTGCGTTGAGGCGCATAATTCTGCACGGACGATTTGTGAGTTGGGCGGAATCCAGGACAGCGTCGAATGAATTGAAGCACGTTTGGGAGAAACGTATTCCAATAAATTTTAGGCTACTCATATTATACACATATATAAAGTTGCTCGTTAAGTCATACTAGATTTAAGTATATGTTCGTTGTTTTCAAGTGTACGTTCAACCAAAAACATAAGACACAAGGTCTATGAATAACTAGTAGACCATGAGGACTGCAAATCTCAAATGAGATCTCAGATCTAAGTTTATCAATCGCCAGTCAATACTCCGCGTGATTCTACAACAGGGTGAGTCATGCCCTACGGTTCGTTGTCCGTGAACAAGGTAAATGGCTCCAGGGGGTGAGGAAAGTCTCAAGTCAGTACTGATCCGATCACCGTCCTTAGATCAGATAGTCCGATGTTTCGGAGAACAGAGAGGATATGATGTCACTGCAACTGGTTTGAAGACAAAAATGAAGGCGCGAATGTCAGCAGGTAAGTATGCACACCTATATTATAAGACTGTGGCACTCCATTAAGGTCTTCAGTTTGCTAAGACAAAGAGGTGAATTGAGAGAACTTTCCTCCGCAGACGGCCTCATAACTAGAATTCGCCTTGGCAGCCACAACTGTATCGCTTTAGATGGACAATATACAGAAGCTGTTAGTATGATTCCTACTCAAAATACCTGCGGCAAATATTAAATACACTCTTTGATGA